GACACATCAATGGTTCAACCGTAATTTTACGAAGCTACAAGAATACTTTTTGTGTGCAAAGAAAACAAAAATAACCATTATGGAGAGTATCATGATGCATGCATGTTCTACACCACATGCATGCATCACGATACTCTCCATAATGGTGCTAGGGTGACACGTAAATAAAATGTGTTTAAATGTGGTAAAAGATGCATTGACAGCCTCAAAGGCACTTACAGTTGACCCTGTGGTGTAGTGGTCAGCAATACAGCAGTAGTCTACAACTGTAGATCCAGGAGCTGGATTAATCTCTTCGTGGTAAGGAGTTTTTGGTTCTTTACCCTGTAAGCAGTCAAAGGAATGTTGTCATGCAATTGAAATGCTGATCTCTCAAAGACCTTTCCTCCACGGGCTTCAAACTAGACGACATGATGAGCAAATAGCTTCTCTGACATGTTATCATTTAAAAACCAACATTTGCGACAAACTCGCGAATTCCTAATAGTTCATGTAACTGACAACTTATTTTTTTATGGTCATCGGCTAGCGACCTTATTAAAAAAAAAAAAAAGGTTAGCGGGCTTATTCACTACAGCTCCCAACTACTGTAACTACTGTAGGCATCAAATGGAAATGTCAGTTAAATCTAACCAAACTGTTCTTAAATAAAGATTTTCTTTCTTAAGTTTACATGACTTCACAATGGGTGTGCTTGCATTACCTGTAGATTAAGCTTCTGCCGTGAATGACTGTTAAACTCGTGCGAGAATAAGGACGTGGCATTTACATCATTTACCTCAGAGAATATAAGATGTAGTCTTTCGATTCTTTATGTATTTTTCTCATATGTATTTATTTGATTAGTTATGGAGTTATTAAATGGGTTATGAAATGTATAAAAGTACAGGTATTAATACAAAAGTAATTTCTTGAAAAATTATATATAAAATAAATTAGAAACCCACCTATTGTTTTTTTTATACCCCTTTTGAATATTAATTTGTTGTTAGCCATAGACATTAACTCGATTAAATACATTTATTTAACTTAAATTATTGGAGTTAAAGTAACACATAAATTATAAAAAAGCAATTCACAACTTATTCAGATTGAGTTGTGCTTAATATAATCAGTTATTGAGTTCACTTAACTCTTTTTTATTAAGTTTAAGTAACTTTTTTAAAAATATAAGTTAGATGAACTTATTTTATTTAGTGAATATCACAGTTAGGTTTTACAGTGTGTTAACATTTATCTTGTAGTTCAATGTTCTTCTTTTTCCCCTTCTACAAATTTTTCCCAAATGTTCCTTTTTATTGAAAATAAAATGTCAGGTAGTTTTAATATAGTAAATAGTACAGGGATGGTTCACCCAAAAATAACAATTATGTCATCATTTACTCACCCTTAAATTGTTCCAAACCTATATGAGATTCTTTCTTCCATTGAAAACAAAAGAAATTTTTTTGGAAGAAAGTTGGTAACCAAACAGTTGCTAGTAGCCATTGACTTCCATAGTATTTTTTCCCTACTGTGGAAGTCAATGGCTACCGGCAAGTGTTTGGTTACCAGCATTCTTCAAAATATCTTCTGTGTTTAAAAAAAAAACATACTGGTTTGGAACAACTTGAGAGTGAGTACATGAAGGAATTTTCATTTTTGAGTGAACTTTCCCTTTAAAGGAATATTCTGTCATCTCACTTTGTTCTACACAGAAAACAGAAACCCATACAGGTTTTGACGGCATGAACATAAGTAAACTAGGACACAATTTTTATTTTGTCGATTGAACTTTTATTTTAAAGAAAGAACTATTCATGTAAATTTTGATACATCAATAGAGGGCGTCAGAGGACAGTGCTCGTGCATTCTGCAAACATATAAAACAAAATATAACACATAAAATATTTATCTTTCAGTGTAATATTTAAAAAATAAGATGGAAAATCTTTATAAACTAAAAAATAGATATTAAATAAATGAGATAAAAGATATTAAATACGAGATGTATTTGTAAACTTAACTGCCATATTCACACATTCACTATCTAAATATGTAAGACATTCTGCGATACGTTTTGCCCGGAAATTAAAGAAAATCTGTAGCGTGTGGGAGGCGCCACAAGATTGCAGTCTATGCGCAGATATGTGGAATTTATGATGAGCGTGAAGGCTTCACCTCGCAGGTTCCTATGGCAACTGATCAAACGCTTCTTGACTTGAGCTCTGCGCCGCTCTGCGCTTGTGTACAGCAGAACTCAGTGGTGCGCGGATCAGCGGGAATATGCGCACTGAACTGCACGCCTGTCCGCGACAGAAGCCTTCACAGCGGAGTAGATGTACCAGCAACATCTAAGGCACGATTTCGCAGAAAGCTGCCAGAAAGAATTCTGAGGGAGGCAGGTGGATTTGTAAGTAACGTTACATGTTTTCATTTCTTTTATTTAAATTAGAGATGCCATTGCGGAATCTATACAGTTTTAGCTCATGTTTGACTATAGATGATTGGTCGTTTGTTTGTTTACTGAACATTTGTAATTATTTAGATATTTGTATTTATGATGTGTAGATTTAATTTGTATATTTATATTTATTTAATCACAATAAATACTAATATAAATACATATAAAGTATAGTAAACTTGAAAATAATTGTTATTGTTTAAAGTGATTTTAATTATAGGGGTTTCAATCCTATTTCGGTGTAAAACTTTTATCTCGAAAGATGGTCTGGAACAAATCATGTCATAAATGTCATAAACACAAGGAATTTACAAGCAAATCTTCTAGCAAGTTTAGTTAGGAGCAGTTATACTGTTGCTTTATCTTTAGAAGTGCTTATCTCCGTGTGGAGATAAGTAAAAAATGCTGCCTAGTCATTCAACACTTAGTTAAGGATGTGTTGAATTTTATGAGATTGCAGTACATATTTAGATATCATCTGCTATCCAGTATTTCATGGTGTGCTTGTGTGGTCTCTTCTAGAGGCAGTCGCAGGAAGCTGACCATCACCACCTCCTCGTGATGCACATGAACAGCTTGTTGAACCGATGGAGTAAGTATTTATAGTTTTACGTGTAAAAAATACTTTCCTTATCTGCTCTTTTATTGGAAAGGACTGTGCCGAACATATGTTGGCTACCTGTATGTGTAAGCTATATGTTGATGTGTATTTTGTTTGGTCTGAGAGGGATATGAACCCTCTAATAGCCTGGGTTAAAATGAGTTGCAAGTTAGGTCAGAAGTGTGGATTGCATTGCAGAGGAAAATGACAGTTAGTCTACCCGTCTGCCCAGCTGTTACTGAATGGCATATGTTGGAAATTTATTGCGGTTGGCAAATATTCAATTGAATATATTACAAATGCAAATGCATACAAAGATATTGTTAGGAATGTTTCATGTTACAGGCTATTAAAATCATGTGTGGTTGACTTATTTGTCTTGTGTCTATCCAGATTTATATTATGTTTTGGCGAGATTTGACATTATGTATTTGTGAAGAGTTGTTGAGAGTTTAGAGAGTACGAATGGAAATGGAGGCGATAAATCAGATATTTATATCTACTGAGGAACAGACCGTGGGGTGTCTACCAGCGCTGTCAGTTTAGCACAAACAGAAACATTGCAGAAGGATTAAGCCATATATGAAAACACAGAAATTTCACGAACCATGTACAGGATGTAGGAAATCAACTTTTATGAAGTTTGCAGCAAAATCTGTTGAAAAATGACTGGTTTTGATTTGCTTTGCTGTCAGTTACTGTACAGGAAGAAAACACTGAATGATTTCCTCATAGACTATTGTAAGCGCATTTCTGTCAGTGCATTTTTTTGTACTTCCAAACATTTCCCTGACATCACATTTTTTTCAAAGTTTTTGAAAAAAGTCTTTTATGCTCACCAAGGCTGCATTTATTTGATAATACAGTAAAAACAGTAATGTGAAATATTATTACAATTTAAAACAATTGTTTTCTATTTTAATATATTTTAAAATGTAATTTATTCCTGTGATTACAAAGCTGAATTTTCTGCAGCCATTACTGCAGTCTTCAGTGTCACAAGATGTCTGTTTATACAGACAGACAGTTTGTTTGCATTTCATATTGTTGTTAATGGGTTCGGCCAAACTAACTACATCTCAGACCTGAGGTCAATGACCTTTTTGACAGTTCTGTGATGTCATCCAAAAGTGGAATGTTTGGAGCAGAACTGCAGAATCTCATAGTTTGTCCCACTTTTTGGACAGGATGTCCAGGACATCTAACATGACAGCAGGACCTTGTTTAGTGCTACCATACTTTTGCGCCATGTCTTTCAGTTAATTCAAAATGAAAGTTGTTGGAATCACTGTTGACCGTCCAATTTGCAGTGGAAGGTCTCAATAGAAGGTTAAAGGTCATCTGTGCAGGCTAAACAAAGAGAACAAGGGCTTTGATTCAGTATGTCTCTGAGTTAGCCAACTGTATTCTGGCAAATCAGTAGCACGCAACTCGCTAATGAGCTCAGGCTGTAGCTAATTTCTCTTTTTCTTGATGTAATCAGGATAAATTTCCTTTGTGGAACATCAGATGACCTTTTCCCTCACGTTTTGCATTGTTGGAGCTGGTAAGTCTTTAAAGATTTGGTTTGAGCTGCGTGTTAACTTGGTAGATCCGTCCATACACGTGCAAATGGAGATCAAGTGTCTTAAAACCCTTGAATAACGGAAAAGAGTCTCATTTTCACAGGTGTCGGTGACTTTGCTGTTTAGCTTAAGAGTTTCCAATCGTATCAGTTTTTTAGGCCACTGTTGTGGATGTTGCATTTCTGGGACTTGATGTTTCTGAATTTGGTTCATGTAGTTTTTCCATATAGTTCTCTGTGGTCTTTCTTCAAGGCTTTATTTAGTGTGTCTTTCATCATGATGTTGATTTCTAGTCTGGTAAGACCAGCAGATAGGTGTTTTTTCTCATGTCCAATGCTTCAGAATCTTCACAAAGTGTGGAATTTCACAGAATGGTGTCTCGATATGAACCGCACCCTACGTGTGTGTGTGTTTTTACACTGCCGTTCAAAGTTTGGGGTAATATTCTTTAATATTTTTTAAAGAAGTGTTTTATGCTCAATGCTAAGGCTGCATTTATTTGATCCAAAATATAGTAAAAACAATAACATGTGAAATATTATTACCAAATAAAATAAATGTTTTCAGTTTGAATATATTTTAAAATGTAATTCATTCCTGATGGCAAAGCTGAATTTTCAGCAGTTTTTGATTCGCTCCAGTCTTTAGTGTCACATGGTCCTTCAGAAATCATTCTAATATGCTGATTTGGTGCTCAAGAAGCATTTCTTGTCATTTTTAATGTTGAAAACATTAAATATTTTAGCGAAAACAATGAATTATTTTTTCAGGATTCTTTTATTAATAGGATGTGATTAGATTTTTGTAACAATTTTTTTTTGTCATTCTTATTCAACTTATGCGCTTTTACTGAATAAAGTATTAATTTCTTAAAAAAAAAATAGTACTGACCCCAAACGTTTGAACGCTAGTGTACATGGCCTTATATCACTGTACTCAAATGCCTGACCTCTCTGACTTCACGGTACCAGATTTTTCCAGTGTTTGCCTGAGCTCAGCTATCCATGTCCTGCAGGGCGACTCCTTTACTCCGTTTTTTTCTAAATTAAACTACTAACCTGGGATTACACCCTGAAGACGTCTGTTTGTTGTAAAACAATCGGTTGTTGGACCCCATCTAGTTCTGACATTGATTGATACTTACACTTGACAATATTCCAGAGTCAGACAGTTGATCATTTCACTCGGGTTGTGCTGTTTTCTATCATTTCTACGCCAATCCAACGACAACTTTTCAGTATTCAGTTTGGCTCTTTAAATAGGAATTGATAAAGGACTTAATAAAGTAGGAGAGAAACTATTAACCCTGAACACCAAAACAAGTAACTGAAAACAGTTCGTAAACTAACATTAATAAGATGGTCTGCCAAATGTTTCGCTCTTCCTAGCTGTGAGGCTGCACATGCAGCTCTGCATAATGTTAGGAAAGAAAGTTTATTTTTTCAACAATGTTCCTGATCATGTCCAAACTTAACAGTTTGTGCGTCACATTTCAGTGCAGATTGTTGTGTGAACCTGTCAGAATGTAATGCAGGGAGTTTATGAAAAGGCAGTAGGCAGTGCCAACTGGATTTCATTATAATAATAATTTCACATGCAAAGTGCTTGCTTACATATCGACGTCCATAAAAGCACAGCACCAAAAAGAAAGCATGTTTAATTCTAATCATCAGAGAGGCTGGAAAATTACATAAAAACTAAACAGTTCACCCAAATATGAAAATTTGCTGAAAATGTACTCATCCAAGATGAGTTTAATCAGAACAGATTTGGATAAATTTTGCATTCACTTGCTCACCAGTGGATCCTCTGCAGTGAATGGGTGCCATCATCCATTGGTGAGCAAGTGATGTAATGCTAAATTTCTCCAAATCTGTTCTGATGAAGAAACCCATGTCTAGTTGTACTGATATTTGACCTGCATTTATAGGAGTGTCTCGGTCCTGAATGTGTAAAATATGCATGTGCCATCTGCATTACCTATGATGACTGAGACCTGCTTAACCTATGCATGACTGGGTTATTATCAGCCAAATCAAAGCACTAGAGATGGTTACTGATCCATCTTGTGGTTTCAGTAACCATCTGTGAGACGATATTGCACTGAATATTCTAGCATAAAATTAAGCTTTGAGATAAATGTAGCCAAACTGTAAACTTCATCACCTCTTTTAGTTTTTTTCTCACTCTTTCTGTCTCATTCACACGCTCCAGAGCTCACGTCATAGAAAGCAGAGGGGATGTGACCCAGGGAGCTTCAGTTGCTACACAGACAGAAGGAAACTCAATAGATCTCTAAAGGAGAGCGCCCAAAGTGACACACACGAGAGTTCTTGCCTCACACTGAATTATTTACTGTAAAAATACCCTGTTTTAACCCTTCAGTTGTTTAACAGCACATGCTGGCCAATGTTCTTTTAGTTTCCTTTTCCTGTGTGGACTTGAAGTGGTTTTGATTATGAAAAAAGCTACCTGAATGGCAGGAAGCTAATTTTTCAGTAGTCTAAACCATTTTTTTTCTCCATTCCAAACAAAGTTTGCTTGGTTTCAGACTCTCTTCTTACATTTTCCAATCGACTCAAGAGGTGACAGTCACTATTTCAGTAGGAGCGCTGTGAATAGTTGAAGACTAATTGAGTAATTTCTTTCTATCCTTCACCCCAAGGTAGATCAAACAAATGCTTTGCGTCACACCACATCTGAATCCATTCTACACTCGCTCCCCAAACAGTGTTGGTTGTCTTTCCATGTCTCATTTACATTAACATACCCGCAGACACTGAAAGAGACACCCTGGCTTGCTAAACCCCCTCAAAGACCACGTCAGTCGATCCTACGTTCACCATTGTCGTTTGCGTGTGAGAGAGGCAAGGTACGTCTGGCAAAGCAGGTTTCAGGTGTCACGCATAACGACAATGACATCTGAGGATGGCTTTAAGACTCAGTGCATCCATGTGCGTGCATGGGTTTGTGCGTGATTGTACAAGATATCAAATATCAGCCAGATATGCATTGGCAGTAATCACTCTCTCTTATTGTACAGGATTAGTGAGTTTCTTATCTTATTTGTTGTTGTATGAACTTTGATGGTTGGATGAGCTTTCTATCTTTGAGCGCTGTTTAGTTTAGGTAATTGTGCTAATGCCTTTAGATGATAGCAGAAATATCAAGATTTAGGCCCTGATGGATCTTATTGCATCTTACGTATATACGCCGCCATAATGCATTCAAGGAAGTTTTCAGAAAAATGTTTTGGTTTGTTCGCACATGCAACCACACATGCATGTACTGCACCAGCATTTAATATTATCCAAGCGTGACAAAAGAAAATGTCAATCAACACTTTTTGTTAGCATAGGTGCACTGCACATATGCCATAGTTTTTCCACAAACTATCTTTGCAAAAAGTACTGTTCTGGTGCAGTGGTACATCAGATGGAAATACCATGGTATTTTAATACAATGAGTTTTGTCTAATTTTTATTGCTACTATTTTGCACATTTTTAGTAATAAAGTCATCAAAGCTATTAAATAACACAAGCATCTTTTTTGTATTGAAAGCAGCTCTGTACAAACACACACACACATACTTTTCATATATACTTTTGAATATTAAATATTAAAATATTAAATTATATATAACATCTTAGTGTAATATTTAATATTTTAAATATGAAGTAATATTACATTTCAGATAAATAATTTTAGTTTTATAAATACATTTATATGCTGCCACATTTTGTACATTTGTTTAAAACACTAGTATTGATTAATTGATTAGCATATTCATATAATGTGGTATTTCCATGTTACTTCAAAAGAATACCTTGGTATGTCCATGTTATGTCCAAAAAACAAGGTAATAGAATAAATCTTTGTGGTTAGTGCACTGTCATATGTAAAAATTAGACAACAACAAATAATTACAAGCTCAAAAACAATGTCAAAACATTTTAAAAGGACTGAAAAAAAAGGATTGACCAAACCATTTTAAAGGACTGAATTATATATCTTCCAGACAAACATCAGAGCAGTGATTTAACCTGGTTATTTTATCTCTCTCTTACAGCAAATCCCTGAGACTCTGTAATGATTACAGCCTTTTCTCAGTATGTACGGCCAGCTAGTTATCTAACTACAGTTTATGCTGAGCTAACACTGATATTATGGACTTTGCTTTCCAGAGCTTTCCAGTGCAGCAGCAATGCGTCATCACCTTCGGGATTATTGCAACTGATACAGAGCTTTGAATATCTGAGAGTAATGTTAACACATACAGTATCTGATAAAGTGTGAGGGAGTGTGTTTGTGTCAGTAGCCTGGGGTCAGACGTTGGTGTGTCGGTGGCAGCTGATGGATAGAGGTTGTGGCAGGACCATCACTGAGAAACCTTGTAGGATGTTGCGTGTGGAAGCCAGTAAACATGTTAACGGGTAGTAACTTAGGACACCCAGTGCTCTGGGCACCAATGATGACGCGCAATGATGTAATCTCCAGCTGACACGCTAATACACAATTCAATAAAATGTCCAGACTTATCCACACTATGCACACATGTACACAAACAGTTTTTTTTTTTTGTAGAACACATGGTCAGCCAGAAGTTTGTGCTAGTGTAGTACATAAAAACTTGTGTTATCTATGTTCAGCATCCTTAGTCTAAATATTAACCTCATGTTTCCTCATAATGTGAGATCATCCAATGAGGACATTTGCAAGTTCTTAGGATATGGTTATGTCATGTCTGCTTGGCCTAAATAAAGCCAAACTATCTTTAAAGGCACACTTACAGGATAGCTTGCATATCTAGACCTTTAAGTATGGGCACAAAGTCCACTTTGGTCCACTTTGCAGCTTATTTGGGCCAAAAACTGCCAATGTAGATAGGAAAACATCTGGCCAAAAATCAGAGCGACCAACCACAGGTTGCTTTTCAAGGTGGGTAAATCTGAAACCGGATATAACTGACAACAAAGGAAAATATGCAGGTGTGCTCAAGTGTGTCTCGTTTACTTGTTTCAAAGATTTGATGTCATCGCAAGCTCATTGAACTGTATCAGCCTGGTACCTTGGAAATACAACTTGGATGCTGCAAATTATGACTATAGTAGGGGTGGACGATATAGCAAAAAAAGCAAGAATCACAATATTCTTAAAAGTTTGGTTGATAGCGATAAGTTAAATATCATGATATAAACATTTTTATGGAAATGTAATTAAAACGTACTGAAAAAAGAATGGTCCTTATGATAAAGTAATGGTAGACCTTTCAAAAATTGATATGTTTAGATTTTTTTAATTTAAATAATCATAAGCCCTGCAATGAAACAGCTAAATTAATAAATAACTTGATGAAAATGCATGATTAATCCAGATATAAGTATTTTATATAAAAACATATTGTTATTTGAGGTATTGTCTGTTTTGACATTTTATTTTTCATCAAAATGCATCCTTTTTTTCATTTTTCTGTGGATTATCCTCTGTATAGATGCAGTCTTGGACATTATGATTAATCTTAATGCAGGCTTTACTGTAAAACTGGTCTTATGTCAGATGAATAAGGTATATAATGTGATGAATCATTAGTGATTTTTTTTTTGTATTGCAAAACACAATTTTTTCATTTTTTTCATCTCCTATAAACAAAGCTTGGTTGCTTTGATTACTCTAAATCCACTTCTGCAGTGTAAAACTAAGCTTCATCTCTCCTACTTCTGCTTTTTCTCTTTTAGATGAGATCTCCAAGATGTGTGAGGTGGACGACACTCCAGAACCGGTCAGTCCCACTCTGCTCAATGAGTCGACAGACACCTACTGGCAGACCGACTGCTGGCACCGACTACGCACCACCGTCCGTAAACTAGAGTTCTGGGAAGACTTCAGCGCAGAACTTATCGGAACCGGCTTCTTCTCCAAGGTCTACAAGGTAAGGGTTTCCTGTCAGTAACTGTGGAGCGAGACAAAAAAAATTTAAAATGTTTATGAAAAATGTGCTAAAATTGCTAGAATGTCCTAAAGGCGGCGTGTAATAATGGAACAGCACAGAATCTGATTAGATAATCTGCCCTTTAGCGAAAGTGCACTGATTTAATCAAAGCTGTGAAAATGAGGCACATTGAGATCTCAGGCTTTGGAACCTTAAGATAAATGTTTTCATTCCACCACCTGCTGCCTTTCAAGAGCAAAGGTTCTGTTCCTTATCTCCAGTATAAATAATTGGTGGGGATTTTGTACCCACCCGAATTCTGTTGCCAAAATGTTAAATGATCTTCTAATCATTTTGTCTGGAAGTCACGGCCTTGTTAGTCCTTACAAAAGAACCTTACAGACGTGACGTGTCTGTTGTTTCCTAAAAACAAGCTGCAGACAGTCTACTAAGAAATACATGTTTAATGTCACGTACCATCACCACCCGGTCAAGCTTAAATGATCTTGAAAACCATCACAAACATGAAAATAACTAGTTGGTTTTAAAAAATGCCTGAGGAAACTATAGTAATCACATTTATTATATGCTAACTTTTTTTTCTTGTTTTGCAAAATCGCTTCAGCATTCCTTTAACCTCATAATTTCAATTGTGAGTAACTAAACGGCATTTTGTTACAAGTCTTGCCAAAGCTCACAAAAAAGCCGTTCCCTTTCATGGGAACTTCGAACTGCGTCCTCTAGGGGTCGCTATGGGGAACGCCTCGTCGTGACCCGTGTCTGAAGCATACATTGAAAAAACACCAACGCGTTGGCCGGCGACAGCCATGATATCACTACCGGTGCGACTATAGTATAAATAGGCGCCGGGAGCATACATCATTCACTTCTTCGTCTGAAGCTTGCGTCCGCAGCATGGCAAGAAACCTAGAGGACGCAGTGTCTCGTTCCCTACTCAGGGAACCATGGTTACATAAGTAACCCGAGACGTTCCCTTTCATGGGAACTTCGAACTGCGTCCTCTAGGGGTCGCTATGGGGAACGCCTCGTCGTGACCCGTGTCTGAAGCATACATTGAAAAAACACCAACGCGTTGGCCGGCGACAGCCATGATATCACTACCGGTGCGACTATAGTATAAATAGGCGCCGGGAGCATACATCATTCACTTCTTCGTCTGAAGCTTGCGTCCGCAGCATGGCAAGAAACCTAGAGGACGCAGTGTCTCGTTCCCTACTCAGGGAACCATGGTTACATAAGTAACCCGAGACGTTCCCTTTCATGGGAACTTCGAACTGCGTCCTCTAGGGGTCGCTATGGGGAACGCCTCGTCGTGACCCGTGTCTGAAGCATACATTGAAAAAACACCAACGCGTTGGCCGGCGACAGCCATGATATCACTACCGGTGCGACTATAGTATAAATAGGCGCCGGGAGCATACATCATTCACTTCTTCGTCTGAAGCTTGCGTCCGCAGCATGGCAAGAAACCTAGAGGACGCAGTGTCTCGTTCCCTACTCAGGGAACCATGGTTACATAAGTAACCCGAGACGTTCCCTTTCATGGGAACTTCGAACTGCGTCCTCTAGGGGTCGCTATGGGGAACGCCTCGTCGTGACCCGTGTCTGAAGCATACATTGAAAAAACACCAACGCGTTGGCCGGCGACAGCCATGATATCACTACCGGTGCGACTATAGTATAAATAGGCGCCGGGAGCATACATCATTCACTTCTTCGTCTGAAGCTTGCGTCCGCAGCATGGCAAGAAACCTAGAGGACGCAGTGTCTCGTTCCCTACTCAGGGAACCATGGTTACATAAGTAACCCGAGACGTTCCCTTTCATGGGAACTTCGAACTGCGTCCTCTAGGGGTCGCTATGGGGAACGCCTCGTCGTGACCCGTGTCTGAAGCATACATTGAAAAAACACCAACGCGTTGGCCGGCGACAGCCATGATATCACTACCGGTGCGACTATAGTATAAATAGGCGCCGGGAGCATACATCATTCACTTCTTCGTCTGAAGCTTGCGTCCGCAGCATGGCAAGAAACCTAGAGGACGCAGTGTCTCGTTCCCTACTCAGGGAACCATGGTTACATAAGTAACCCGAGACGTTCCCTTTCATGGGAACTTCGAACTGCGTCCTCTAGGGGTCGCTATGGGGAACGCCTCGTCGTGACCCGTGTCTGAAGCATACATTGAAAAAACACCAACGCGTTGGCCGGCGACAGCCATGATATCACTACCGGTGCGACTATAGTATAAATAGGCGCCGGGAGCATACATCATTCACTTCTTCGTCTGAAGCTTGCGTCCGCAGCATGGCAAGAAACCTAGAGGACGCAGTGTCTCGTTCCCTACTCAGGGAACCATGGTTACATAAGTAACCCGAGACGTTCCCTTTCATGGGAACTTCGAACTGCGTCCTCTAGGGGTCGCTATGGGGAACGCCTCGTCGTGACCCGTGTCTGAAGCATACATTGAAAAAACACCAACGCGTTGGCCGGCGACAGCCATGATATCACTACCGGTGCGACTATAGTATAAATAGGCGCCGGGAGCATACATCATTCACTTCTTCGTCTGAAGCTTGCGTCCGCAGCATGGCAAGAAACCTAGAGGACGCAGTGTCTCGTTCCCTACTCAGGGAACCATGGTTACATAAGTAACCCGAGACGTTCCCTTTCATGGGAACTTCGAACTGCGTCCTCTAGGGGTCGCTATGGGGAACGCCTCGTCGTGACCCGTGTCTGAAGCATACATTGAAAAAACACCAACGCGTTGGCCGGCGACAGCCATGATATCACTACCGGTGCGACTATAGTATAAATAGGCGCCGGGAGCATACATCATTCACTTCTTCGTCTGAAGCTTGCGTCCGCAGCATGGCAAGAAACCTAGAGGACGCAGTGTCTCGTTCCCTACTCAGGGAACCATGGTTACATAAGTAACCCGAGACGTTCCCTTTCATGGGAACTTCGAACTGCGTCCTCTAGGGGTCGCTATGGGGAACGCCTCGTCGTGACCCGTGTCTGAAGCATACATTGAAAAAACACCAACGCGTTGGCCGGCGACAGCCATGATATCACTACCGGTGCGACTATAGTATAAATAGGCGCCGGGAGCATACATCATTCACTTCTTCGTCTGAAGCTTGCGTCCGCAGCATGGCAAGAAACCTAGAGGACGCAGTGTCTCGTTCCCTACTCAGGGAACCATGGTTACATAAGTAACCCGAGACGTTCCCTTTCATGGGAACTTCGAACTGCGTCCTCTAGGGGTCGCTATGGGGAACGCCTCGTCGTGACCCGTGTCTGAAGCATACATTGAAAAAACACCAACGCGTTGGCCGGCGACAGCCATGATATCACTACCGGTGCGACTATAGTATAAATAGGCGCCGGGAGCATACATCATTCACTTCTTCGTCTGAAGCTTGCGTCCGCAGCATGGCAAGAAACCTAGAGGACGCAGTGTCTCGTTCCCTACTCAGGGAACCATGGTTACATAAGTAACCCGAGACGTTCCCTTTCATGGGAACTTCGAACTGCGTCCTCTAGGGGTCGCTATGGGGAACGCCTCGTCGTGACCCGTGTCTGAAGCATACATTGAAAAAACACCAACGCGTTGGCCGGCGACAGCCATGATATCACTACCGGTGCGACTATAGTATAAATAGGCGCCGGGAGCATACATCATTCACTTCTTCGTCTGAAGCTTGCGTCCGCAGCATGGCAAGAAACCTAGAGGACGCAGTGTCTCGTTCCCTACTCAGGGAACCATGGTTACATAAGTAACCCGAGACGTTCCCTTTCATGGGAACTTCGAACTGCGTCCTCTAGGGGTCGCTATGGGGAACGCCTCGTCGTGACCCGTGTCTGAAGCATACATTGAAAAAACACCAACGCGTTGGCCGGCGACAGCCATGATATCACTACCGGTGCGACTATAGTATAAATAGGCGCCGGGAGCATACATCATTCACTTCTTCGTCTGAAGCTTGCGTCCGCAGCATGGCAAGAAACCTAGAGGACGCAGTGTCTCGTTCCCTACTCAGGGAACCATGGTTACATAAGTAACCCGAGACGTTCCCTTTCATGGGAACTTCGAACTGCGTCCTCTAGGGGTCGCTATGGGGAACGCCTCGTCGTGACCCGTGTCTGAAGCATACATTGAAAAAACACCAACGCGTTGGCCGGCGACAGCCATGATATCACTACCGGTGCGACTATAGTATAAATAGGCGCCGGGAGCATACATCATTCACTTCTTCGTCTGAAGCTTGCGTCCGCAGCATGGCAAGAAACCTAGAGGACGCAGTGTCTCGTTCCCTACTCAGGGAACCATGGTTACATAAGTAACCCGAGACGTTCCCTTTCATGGGAACTTCGAACTGCGTCCTCTAGGGGTCGCTATGGGGAACGCCTCGTCGTGACCCGTGTCTGAAGCATACATTGAAAAAACACCAACGCGTTGGCCGGCGACAGCCATGATATCACTACCGGTGCGACTATAGTATAAATAGGCGCCGGGAGCATACATCATTCACTTCTTCGTCTGAAGCTTGCGTCCGCAGCATGGCAAGAAACCTAGAGGACGCAGTGTCTCGTTCCCTACTCAGGGAACCATGGTTACATAAGTAACCCGAGACGTTCCCTTTCATGGGAACTTCGAACTGCGTCCTCTAGGGGTCGCTATGGGGAACGCCTCGTCGTGACCCGTGTCTGAAGCATACATTGAAAAAACACCAACGCGTTGGCCGGCGACAGCCATGATATCACTACCGGTGCGACTATAGTATAAATAGGCGCCGGGAGCATACATCATTCACTTCTTCGTCTGAAGCTTGCGTCCGCAGCATGGCAAGAAACCTAGAGGACGCAGTGTCTCGTTCCCTACTCAGGGGACCATGGTTACATAACTAACCTGAGACGTTATTATTGTGTGAAATGCTTTTGTGCTTGATACTATCTTGAATGAAAGACTTTGGCGAGGACTAAGATCACAGCAGAGCTTTACAATAGCAGAGTGATTGAACCTAGATAACGTGTTTAATATCAATTCACACAGAATGTAAAAAAACTGTAAAAAAAAAACAACAAAAACACACCATGGGCCAAGTAATGACTGCACTTTTTTTTTAAAGAACATTGTGTCCTAAAGGAGTTGTGTACTGTAAAGGAACAGAATTAGCCCAGGGGAAAATAAGAGTGATGCTTCTTTTTTGTTGTGAATGTGTTTACAGAATTTCAAGAAAGGATAAACATGTTAGGAAATCCCTCCTGTTGAAACTCCCACTGTATGTACAGTATGTGACGCCCTCGCTGCTGAGTCAATAATGATGTAATTCTCCCTCGCTCAGGTGATACATGGCACCACGAAGAAGGTGATGGTAGTGAAGATCTATAAGAATGACGTGGATCAGAACAGCATCGTGAGGGAGATCAGTCTACTTCAGAAACTCTCCCACCCGAACATAGTGAGGTGAGCCGCCTCTGCACACGCGATTATTAATCACTTCCATCAATCTCACGCCGGCCTGATGCTCATAACACCCACTCAGAACATGGGAAGAAAACAACTCTGACTCTGTCGGCCTAATACTAAATAATAAACCTGACTACGTTAAGATTTCCTGACCTTGAACAAAGGTAACCAGTGAATGGCTACAATTTAGATGATCTTCTGATATTAAAAGCATTAGACTGTGAGACTGTAATAACTACACACAGCCCGTGTTTTAAATCCTGAGTTTTAGTAGTGTTTGCTAAAACAAGCATCATTATTAGTATTGCTTGTAAGGATGCATGATATATCTGCACCAGATTAGATATTGGTCAATATTAGAGATTTTTAATTCATTGGTATCTGTTATTGTTGGATATCTAATTGTGCATGCTAATTTCTAATATTTTTAGAGTTAGATTACCTTACTGTCAACTTCACAAAAGTTGATTAAAAAGCCTTTAGCAAATTTCCATATGATTATCCAGTTTTCATACTGTACAAGTCTCTTGTTGCATTTAAAACAATTGTTTAGCAGTTCTTGTTTTATTTTTAATTTATTTAGACAATATTGTATTTTTTATTTGAGTATCATTTATAAATATATTTATCAACTATCATTTGGATCAGCCAGAATTTTAACATCCCTAACTGCTCATACTTACATTTAAGAACAAACATTTAACCCTTTGTATTCAGGCCACATCTAGAATATCATAAAAACGTGGCCTCTTTTGACTACCCAGAACACCCTAGCAACCCAATAACAACTAAAAACTACTTTGAGTACCTTAGCAACTGCATAGCAACGGCCTGGTAAATGCCTGCAATACACTGTCATTCTGGCATCAAGTTTTACATAGAAACTACACACATTTGGGTGAAAATGTAAAAATCTTTCAAATTTAATTTGCACTGCTAAAAGCCTTTTGATTCCTTTATGACTGTAAATTTTATCTAAAGTCAATTTAAAGGGTTTACACAGATGTATAAAGGTCACAGGTGCTGATTGGATGATTTGTCAATCTTGTTATTATCTGTGAATGCTCTAAACTTAGCATTATTCCTCAGTTCTCGGATGGATAAAGTAAAATACTGTGATTTTCATTCTGTAGGTACCTGGGGATTTGTGTCAAGGAGAACAAGCTGTATCCAATTCTCGAGGTGGGTGGCAACTTTTAGGAATTAGTATTCACAATTAAGCATATCCAGTCTTTTGCTTTCTCTGTGTGCTGCCCAGAAAGTCTCATAACACTAGCAGTGACTCACCATTATGTTTTTCTAATGTGTCAAGAGTATATCATTTTCTACAAAGAAAAACAGTTTTCCTGATTTAACATGCTGCAAAAGTGAGTTGCATTTTCACTGTATAAATCAGGTTATAATTCAAAGTGTTTTATAATCTCGTGTCCTTCCCTCCTCCACCTAGTATGTGAGCGGAGGCTGTCTGGAGGAGCTGCTGGCCAGGCATGACGTCAACCTCTGCTGGAGAGAGAAGATCGAACTGGGCTGTGATATTAGCCGAGGAATGACCTATCTCCACTACAAGAACATTTACCACAGAGATCTCAACTCTAAGGTGAGGACGAGTGAGTTGGCAGACTTCAGGGATCAAAGTTGAGCAATTATGGCAAAGATATATTATGAAATATCACCTCGCAGTGTTCAACCTAGATTTAAAGGTGTGTGCCAAGAACAGGCCTTGCATTTATAGCTAATGATAGAGATTTGTAATGTCACTCCATTTGAAATTTCTGCTGTTTTTACATCTAATGTAACTTGCCTGACTTGACTGACTTAAGTCATGTTTTGAACAAAATGTGTTGAATACATGATTCAGCGAGTACCATGTATGCATATAATTCCACAGATTGCAGTGTTTAACTGGTAGTGAGCACACTTCGCTTGTGTCCATTTCCTCTTTTCTCATATAACCTAATTTTTGTTTTATTGCTTAGGTACAGCTTAGTTAGTTGTGAGATAACCATAATATTATCTCCCATAATCTTACAAAGTGAAGATTGGCATACTTACACAGTGGCCCCAAAGGTATCTGGATGCTTAAGTCAAACTTAAAATCTATATAAATAAATAAATAATATATATATATATTATATATTTTTATTATATACAATTTTTTTTAATAAAAATCAATTGCGTTGCATTAAAAAATGTCAAAGTGCTATCTGCAAACTATTGCTACACATTTTCTAACTTCACTCATTTTAACCATTACCTTTTAACCAACTAAAGTGAAGCTAGTTCAGGAAAAGGTCCAGCATTATTTGATTGCAGATGCAGCTTGGTTTGATATTATGTTATCTAAATTTTGCAATGAATTTAATGCATTTTTAGTGTAGTATGTTTGCAAAAATATTTATTTGGCTCCTAATTCACTTTTGGATTTTTTTTTTTTTTTCAACAATTGAAATGATAAAAAATGTAATGGCATTTTGTGAAAAGTAGTGCTTGCATTTCCATTTTTCAATGTGTGAAACTTGGCACCATTTATATTATCTTGAGTGAAAGGTTTTGGTTTCTGTAGATTTACTTCAGTTATGGTTTCCATTCATCGCTTATGAACACAATAGCAGAGTGATGGGACGTAGATAACATGCTTAATACCGAAACACACAGAACATGAAAAACAGTGCCGCATGCCTCCACTGTGACCATTCTCACACCATGGGCCAAGGTATTTCAACATTTTTTTGGTAAAGAACATTGTGTCCTGAAGGAGACGTGTTCTGTAAAGGAACAGGATCGGCCCTGGGGGAAATATAAGTGATGCTTCTTTGTTTTTCTTCAGAATGTGTTTATAGAAATTCAGTGAAGGAAAAAACATATCAGGAAATCCTTCCTATTGAAAATCCCTATTGGAAAAAAAGGAAGTGTATTTTCAATAGGAAGGAAATACTTTCTATTGAAAATACACTGGCGTTCCAAAGTTTGGGGTCTGTAAGATTTTTTTTTTTTCTCCTATGTTCACTAAACCTGCATTTATATTAAATACAGTGAAAACACTTTTATTGTAATTTTTCTATTATTTATACAACAGTTCTTTCTGGTCCTTGAATCTGATTAGCTGAGATATCTGAGCAGTGCGATATTCTAGTGATAACAGAACTCCAAACCACCGTTTGTATCACTCCACTTGCAGTATTTCTCAGAGCAAGTGTCATGGCAGATGCCCAGATCCACTATAATTTTATGGATAATACTGTTACTGTGTCGCAGAATGTAGTTTTTAGAGATTTTTTAGGCGAGAATGCACTTCAAATATGCGGCTTGTTAAAAAAGATCATGTCTATTTGAAGATTTTCTTTCATGTTTTGGAAGATGTGAGCTGTTGGCTGTGGAAACCGTGATATATTTGTTTCAGGATGATGAATAGAAAGTTCAAAAGAACAGATTTGTTTGAAAACAATTTTTACTTTCACTTTTAATCAATTTAGTGCATCCATGGTAAATAAAAGTATTAAAAACACTTTCTGTCCCCACACTTTTGAACAGTAGTGTATATGACACCCTCACTCATATTGTTAGTGAAATGACTAAAAGACGAGAATTTCGTTGCATTTTGAAAAGGGAACCTGCACCCTTCTAAAGTTGTAAGTGGAGAAAAACAGTCATGGTCCTGACAGGTTTAACTGTGGCAGTTGCCAGGCTGCAGTGTGCAGTGAGCACAGGCCTGTGTGTTTGAACAGAGATGGGAAGGTCTGACCTTTATTATGCTAATGCTGTAGCCAGCATTCACCATTCCATAAACTCCAGACTGCGGCTGCTTTCACTCGCTAACATTTTTTCGTTTCCTTTTTACTCGCTCACATAAGAAATTACCTGCTGACACCTGTCACTTTCAAGCTTTTATCCTCTCACCCTGCTCACACGCAGTTTTACTAAAAACGGACATGACTTAGCCGTGTTATTTTTAAACGGTTTTATGTTTTATAACTAGATTTTTACATTTCTTGAAGTAAATGTATGCTTCTCCATGCTAAAGTAAACTCATTGCCCCAATGCAGTGTGGTTGCTAATGTGTTCGGGGTAGTAGCTGGGACTTGTTTACTGGTCCAGTGTAAGTCTGAAGGATTTTTTGTAGCTTTTTATCATCCACCATGGCAAGGAACGTACATCACTTAGAAAAGTAATAACACACCTGAACAAGTACATAGCTCAAATATTGCTACTATAGTTTACATGCCATTACACAGTGTGGAGGTAAAACATTACTTGTTCTGCTTGCATAACATGGCAGGGTCATGTTTCCATGCCAGAGGTTATGTGTGGTTGTATAGCTGCCTTATGTCAGTGGGTGTATTTAAAACACATGGGTACTGTTACTGCCACACATGAAACCTCAGAGCCTGATAGCACACTCATTGCACATTCACAACTCTCTGTTGATGTAAAGCTGTACCTGATGCTCTGGTGAAAGACAACTGTGTGTGCTTTAAGTTGTAGTCAGAGAGTTTACTCTTACCTTTCAGCATCATATTTATCAATTTGTGCATTTCACTGACTAATGTTACTGATTCATTGACTGAACAAAATGCTTGTCAAGTAAAGCTGACAACAGAAGTGTAAGTTGGGTGATTTTTGTCTTTTATGACTAGTCTCACAATGTTCTGGAATGTTCCAGAAAGCACTAGAATATTACAGAAACTTCTAGAATGTTCCCATCCTTGCAAATGCAAAATATCTTAAAAAAAAAAAAACATGCTTATCTGTAACGTATATGTAATATACAGTGGGTACGGAAAGTATTCAGACCCCCTTCAATTTTTCACTCTTTGTTATATTGCAGCCATTTGCTAAAATCATTTGTTAATTTTTTTTCCTCATTAATGTACACACAGCACCCCATATTGACAGAAAAACACAGAATCGTTGACATTTTTGCAGATTTATTAAAAAAGAAAAACTGAAATATCACATGGTCCTAAGTATTCAGACCCTTTGCTCAGTATTTAGTAGAAGCACCCTTTTGATCTAATACAGCCATGAGTCCTTTTGGGAAAGATGCAACAAGTTTTTCACACCTGGATTTGGGGATCCTCTGCCATTCCTCCTTGCAGATCCTCTCCAGTTCTGTCAGGTTGGATGGTAAACGTTGGTGGACAGCCATTTTTAGGTCTCTCCAGAGATGCTCAATTGGGTTTAAGTCAGGGCTCTGGCTGGGCCATTCAAGAACAGTCACAGAGTTGTTGTGAAGCCACTCCTT